CACCGGCCCTCCGCCAGAGCCCGCCGCAGGAGAGGGGCCGTCGCACCGGGCAGCACAAGGCGCAGCCGGGCCTCCGAGTCCCACTGCGGGACGCTGCCCAGGGACTGCGCTGCCCCTTTGCTGCCCCCGCGCTGACAGGACAGGAGGGCGGTAACGGCGCCCGAGGCTGCCTGTGACGGCAGAAAGCCGTTCCGAACTGTCACCCTGCCCGGGCCTCAGCAGCCGGGGAAGCGGCCGCTCTGGCGGCGCCTCTCCCCTGTCGGCAAGCGCTGGTCTGTCCAGCAAGGGTTTGCGGCGTCCAAAACCGCCCTGAAGTCCTCCAGTCTCAGCTGCAAGCACAACCTAAAGGTTTTCCGATTTTTATTGACAGGCAGTTAACCTTAATATACACATAAGTCGCCAGAATCCATCTCCAAAGACTTTTCAGAATGCTGAAAGACAGGCAATAAATAACACTTAAATGAAGAACATTCCCTTTAATTGTTTAACACCCTCCCACCTTACATAACAATCTGACAGCCCTTAACAAGAACAGAATACATGTTAAAGACAGCATTCCATTTTACCAAACAAAAACTAGAAAATAAATCTAGCTTAGTAAAACATTGCACTATGATAATCTCAGGCTACCCTTATCTGGTATAGAGACTTAGAATCCCAAAGGAAATATTTCCAGCATCTACAGAAAGCAGAGAGAGGCTCGCTCCAGAGCAATCAGAAGTTGGCAAACGTTTTAATCGTCAATTACGTCAAGTGTAAATGAAGTGATTAAAAAAGTGACTGAAATGATGGCAGTATGTTACCTACATAAAATATATATTCTAGAGAAGAACTTTAGCTACATAAAAAAAGCCTTTTTAACCCTAAGGAGGGATCAATATTCATGGCATAATACAAGAAATAAAGATTCGGTCTCTAGAAGACAGAACTACACACTTCGCAGATGATTGAGACGCTTAACTTTACATACACTATAGTTAAACCACACCACTTCTGACTATTTTTTATTAAATGCCTCCAGTAAACGCAGCAAGTGTAAGAAGAGATTGAGGATGTCCAAGTAGAGATTGATTGAAGCCAGTATGTACTCTTCAGGGGACAGCTTATGCATCAGCAAATGAGTGTCATAAATAATAAATCCACAGAACAGGAGGGCTCCGGCAGCAGCAAACACCAACTCTATTGTCTCACTGTAGAAAAACAGCTGGAGGCAAATGAAACATGAAAAAAAGAAATCTGTAAATTTAATTTTCTTTCAAATGTTAAAATCTCTCCACAATGATACACCAACCTTAAAACACATACACACAAATACATGACAATGACATATCAATGTTCCTATTTCTTATAGTCCCCAGTCACACAATCTCTTTAACCGAGTACAAGTGCCTGCAGTTAAGAGAGATGAAGCTCTGGTCTCCAGAATATTAAGAGCAGAAAAATGAGAAAACAAAAATACACTTAAGCCCCAAATCTCCTTCCCATTCTCTGAATCAAGTAATGGGTCTCAATTAAGAAATGTTGTCTATCAATGCAAATATGACTTTTACATTAGCAAGAACAGCATCCAACAAAAATGTGAATCATTAAAGGATGGTTAAAAGCTCAGCAGCATGATCTACAACACTAACGGTTCTCCTTAGAAATTTTGTTTCATTAAGCTATACTGGACTGTCAAAACCCTTTTTGCTATACTAGAAGCTAGTTAAAAGCTTTATGTTAAAGAATATTTTTTAACCTTGAATACAAGATATCTTACCCTCAAGAAACCTGAGAAGATTAAAATCCACAAACAAGCAAAGAGGCTGAAAACAAAACAAAACAAAACAAAACAACTGTGATCAACAATAAATTTTCTTCCAAATTTTACTTAAAATCTCTTCCCTTTTTATTAAAACTTTCCACAAGATATTTGGTAAGTAAATGTCCATCACTCTTAGATGCCAAATGTTCATTGGTATCAGCAGTAAAACTCAGGTCTATAAAGCTGTCAAAAGCTATGTCCTAATTTTAGTTTAAAAAAAAATAACTACTTGAAGCAGCTGCCTTCTGTGTCAGTGAAAAATCCAGGTAAACAAGTTTGCTAGTGTATTACTATGGTTTTATTAATCATAATCACAGAAAACAGCTTCTTACCAAGAAAGCAGAATTGCATAAAATTAATAACGTAAGATCAATGACACCCTCATCATTCCCTTGAAGCAGGTTCTATTCCTGTATTCCTTCTTATATGTGCAAAGCTTACTTTAAGAAAGGAAAAACTTTCTCAACAAAACAAAACAAAAAATCATTAATATGACAACATACCCTGCTCCAAATTTGCTGAAGTCTCTCTTTGACTGCAAGGTATATGCAGTCAGTCCAAGAAATACAGCTGTAGTAAGAATAAAGGCTTGCAAGACGACAGACACATCGTAGAAACTCACTATAAACAGGAAAAGTAAACTGTCATTTGAAGAACACTACACTATGTGTTATCTTTCGAGGAAGCAGAAGTTTAAACTTTCACACAAAGAGGGAAAAAAAAATCTTAACTGTGAACAGAAACAGTAAATTATGCCTCAACTTGCCTTTCCACTTCAAAATCACGATTATAGGACTCACGGACCCTTGCATTAGTGAAGACTGACAATTACCTTATAGCTGCAGCTTAAATGGAAATAGCATCTACACTACTCACAATAAAAACCAAACAAACGAAAAAAGAAAATAAGTATTTTAAGCTTAGATACATGGGATCTTAAGGGAAAGGCTATCAGAATTTTTCATGATACTGAAACAAGGAAGAAAAAAATTAGTCCTCTGTGAAAGCTCGTAAGGTTTGGATTTGGGAATAGCAGGGGAAAGAAAGCAAACTGAGTGGAACCTTTTTGTTCCCTCATTAATCTTTCTTTTCCCCAAATGACTTGGTTTTTTGGGTTGCTGGTTTTGGGGTTTTTTTTTGTTTGTTTTTTTTTTTCCAGGAGATCCTAAGCCATAGTGAAGAGGTTTCATCTTCTGCTGGAAGCTACAGTATAAGGTGATGCCACAACTTGTCTGCACACAGCCCTATCTCAGTCCTGACAATGAGGTACAAAATTCTCCATACTCAAACTCCCTTGGAGAAAACTGAGGGGGAAGATAAGGGCACTTCACTTGCAGATCAGCTTTGCTGAGAGCTGCCTGTATGACACCAGCTAGAGTCAAGCTCCATTCTTTGCACACCAGCTACTTTATGGGATGGTGGCCAACTGCCCAAGTGACTTTGGACTTCTGGAATTTCTGCTGCTCTCTGGACACTGCAGACAACCCTAGTATTTCTAGCTGCCTAGGAAAGAACTTTGCTAGCTCTACCAAAAGATCAGATGGCACAACTCATATTTTCAGTTCTGGATCAGAATCAATTTTTCTCCCTTGATTCCCTATTTGTTGCTAAACTTTAGTTAGTGTAATTAAAATTTTCAAACAGGGGGTTTATTATCATTGTAGTCACACCTAGGAATCTCAGATGGCAATTAGTACAAGATACTGGATTCCTTTTCAAACTTCTTTATGGAATCAGTCACTAAGATGGCTACCACTTACCTGTAATGGCAACTGTCAGTGCTTCCAGTAGGGTCTACAAAAAGTAAAAACAAAAAATCACAAGAATTAAAATAAACCCCAAACAATCACAAAACACTTGCACAGAGACTTCACATGTAATGAGTCCCATTCTGCTACATACTCCCAGCACGTGTTACATGAATCTTTGTACGTGAAAACAAGAAGTTGTTGTGTTACATAAAAAGAATACAATATGAACTGAAAATTAATGAGAAAGCATCTATAGAAAAATGGCATTTAGGTTTTTTGCTCAAAGCACACAGCATTCTTATTACACTTCTTACAAACTATTCAAGGGACTGTAAAAAGTAATATACTCTTAATACCTTTTAAGACAGCTGTCTGCATTGACTTCCTTTTTCCATTCACCCTTGTTTTGAAACAGCTAAATTAAACATATTATTGATGTCTGGGCTGAAGGCTAGCATGGGCCCCGAGTTTTTTCTAAAATATAGTTCCAAATTATGTTTCATTACAATAAAATATGAGAAAAGTCTCTTATGTTGTGAACCAGAAGTAACAGAGCATTCAACCTATATTCTGTTTAAACCTATTTATCACACACAGATTTGAATCGCTCTATTCCTACGCAGTGTAATACTTCAATTATTATACCACAAACATTTGGCCAAACTATTACATTACTCCTTGTTACAGCTGCACTTCTTGAAAGTTTTTAAATGCTTTCCTGCAAGAGTTTAGAAGTCAGGAAGAATATAACTGTGCTACCATTTAGAGTCTACTTCCACAGCAAAACTGTCTTGCCCTTGTATCACAAATACAATTTAGGCAACTCCTAAGGCATCAAATTCTAATTGTGCTACTGTGACTTCTCTTCAGAAGACTGATTTGTTACATAACCCAAAATATCCAAGAGCAACAGTTAGCCCAACATCAGAGAGGAGATTGAAGGTTGAGGACAGCTCTGATTGACCTGCCTGTGTAGGAAACATGGTCAGAATTTAGCATCAAAAAGACAACGATTAAAGAAGCAAACACATACGGTTGGTTGCATTTAGGTCTCTGCTGATTTCTGTCCATCAAACAAATAGGGTAACAGAAATGCCTCCTCCTTTTCTACTGAGCAATTTCATAGAAATATCACTGATATCAACAGAACAATGAGAGCAGACAGACAGGTATTTACACAAACACGGGGGG